ATTGTGGTTTCATCGGTTTGGCTGTAATTGATGTTTAAAGTTGAAAAAACGCTGTATGTTTGGTGGAATATTACTGTGGAATATTGCAATTAATTATTCTATTAAATGTTGAAAACTAATAACAAGTACAGAGAAATTTTAAACACGTAATTATCACCTATTCATTGAAATTAACACATACACACTCATGCAACTAGTACATTATTACCGTTTTCTCTTTGCATTATAGTCGAATGGTGAAGTAGGATGTACTCATATTTCCCAAGAAACACGCTTTCATTATTGGAATACGCTTGTATTTATCGAAAACAAAAAAAAAACGCATCATCAAACACACTTGTGCAAGAAGTTCCAAAAGAACAAAAAGAAAAATAAATTGAAAAAAAAAACAAATGAATTTAAATAAATTCTTCCGCGGACAAGGAAAGAATAACTTGATTTGAATTGCCGTCCGATCAACAACCTTTTGTGGGTTTTCCACAACAACCGCGATTCACGAAAACCCAATTAAGATTTAGTAACAAATTGACTAATTCTTTATTTTTTTTCATTGAATTTGATTTATTTAAATTTGTTAATAGTTAAATTAATATAAAATTTCAAAATGAAGAAAACATCGTAGTAAACTGGAAACAAGAGAAAAAGGAGTTTTTGAATCACGATTGATAACAAAAGATATTTAGTATTTAAACTACAGTTCGAATAACGCTTTGTTCTTTTACGTTTCAATACAATTTCTATCAGATTCGTGCATCGAGAAATACCTGTAGTTTTTATAGTTGATTAATTTGAATTAAATTACAGTTAGAATTTATAAATATTTTTTTTTTGTATAGATTTTCAAGGATTTTGTAGCTTTAATTGACAACGAATACTATTGAATTTTGTTAATGATTGATCTCTGAGGGAATTTTTTCAAAGAGTTTTAGTTTTAAAATAATTTAGCTTATGGATTATTGTTGAATTCAATTGAATGTTGTTAATTGAAGCTGAATGTTATTCAATGTTAACCATTGGAATAACCAGTTGGTTGAAGAAGCTGAAGAGATTTGCGGATGTATAAATTTGAAGTTGTACAGTTTACTTACGTGATGAGTGATTGCGGTGAGCACTAGCAAAGCGGTTAGCACAAGGTTGGCCGCTGCTGAGGGCGACGGTGAAGTCATGGTTGAGGCCGCGGTAATCCGTGGGAAAGTGGCCGAAGTGGCAAATTTGGGACGCAGCAGCAGCTAGCAGGAAATTTGGGTATCTGTGACGCGCGCGATGGAACGCCGAAGAATGCCACTAGATACTGTAGAGCGACGATCGCAGGCGACACTTCTTTTTGTAAATAAAAAGAAGAACAAGAAAGAAAAAAAAGGGGGAAAAGAGCCCCCAGACTACGACGACGACAACAACATCGATGACGACGAAATCCATGATGCACTCTAAACGATAAAACTGGTTTAGTTTATATATATAAAGTTTATATTCGCTCTCTCGCGAAAAATAGAAGATGTGTGTGGTTGAAGAGGAGAACAATCGGATTCGAGAGGAAAGGAGAATCGGTAAAAACGAGTTTACCGAGACGCAGCATCAAAAAAAAAAGAATCATCGTAATCTAAATATTATCCGTATATTGAGGTGAGGTGGCCTTGGAACAAACGCGAATAAGTTATTGAACTTTTGCTTAACAACAACAACAACAAACAAACATCTGAACAAAACAAGTTGTTGTATTCCCGAATCAATTCCTCAGGATAAGCTGCGTGATGTTACGCAGGAACTGTCTGACCTCTTCCTCGGAGAGCATCAACGGGAACTTGGGTAATTCTCCGAAGGGCAACGAAATCGCCTCGCTCCTCATCAACGGTAATTGGAGCAGTTCTTTCGGTTTCCTATCCAGAAGGCGGTAAGGAATCGGGTAGTCTTGACCACCGATTTGACCTAATCCGAAGAGGCCGCCACCGTTTGCAGTGCCGAAGAGGTGATTTCCTGCAGTCTGGATCTTCTCCCAAATGCGCGAAGGTCGCGGCAGACCCAAGTTCAAGTTCGGATGCGTCAGGTATTCGGAGATGAGCGAGAGCTTCTGGTGGAGTGGTTCGAAGATCTGCGAGGGCGTCAGGAAGATAGGAACGAACGGAAGACGTTTGTTGGAAGTTCCATCCAGATTCGTCACTTCAGTATCAATTTGCTCAGAGTTCTTAAGCTTCACTAATTCCGTAACCGCATCAACAACAACCGAATCGTCTTCGGTCGTCGTGGAAACAGTAACCAAATCCGTTGGCGTCTCTATCAACAAAACAAAATGTATTATGAATATCATGGATATTACGACTTCTTTCTTTCTTTCTCAAATTGACATAATTACTCATAGTTTCCAATAAAACAAACTTGTGTAAATTTAACTTAATCACTGTACTCACCCGTATTTTGCAATTGGAGCAAGGATCTGCACCTGACGACGCATATCTATTAAACAAAACAAAAAAACAAATTCTTAAACAAAAGTTAATTTTTGTTTTGTTTCAAATTTGACGTACCAGAAGCGCAAATGTCAAAGTCCTGCACATCAGCTCCATATCCATTCTAATGATACATTCGCAAACATCGTTTCGCCTCTATATAAAGCGATTATTCTCTCCCTTCTGGTAGAAAAATAAAGAGCAATAATAATGGGGGACGCGAATTATCATTCACGCTATGCAAATCAGCCGATGGGTACCGTCATGCGATGTCGAAATTGGACAATTTTCAATCACTAATTGGCACTTACGCAACTTCTTTTGTTTTGCATTAATATCAAGTACGTCGATTACAATTGAATCCAAATTTCCCCAAAGTTAAAATTCACTCATTTTTATATTATTTTATCATTATCTAATTCACTTATTATTCAATTTTCTTAAATTGTTCTGACATTATATTTGTCATTGTACTTGGAAAACATTTACTTTTTTTATGATAATTTAGAAATAAACTTTGTTATTATACAATCATTCACTAATCTATCTGCGATTTAAGTTATTTTTGATAGATTTGAAGATTTAAATTTGAATATTTATTTGTATCGCATGTAATATTGGTTGCCTATATAAAATTAATCATTTCAGTAATAACAATTTAGTTTGTTAGAAAACTTTTCGTTAATTTTAAAGCTTAAATTAAACTAATTAAATAGTTTATAAACTTTTGCTTAAACTTTGTAATTTAAAATAAGTAAACAAATGTTTGTTTGTAAATGTGTAATATTGGTTGCATATAACAACTTTAAATTTAGTTCCCAAGTTTGTCGCGGTTTATTTCAAATATTTGAATTTAATTGTAATTAATTGCAATGTGTTAATTAATATTATAATCATATTAAATAGTATTTCAATTTGAACTTAGTATAAAGTAAAGTATAAAGTAAAGTATAAAGTAAAGTATAAAGTAAAGTATAA